CGGCCTTCTCCGCGGGCACGCGCTGGGGGATGCAACACTCTCGAGCCCGCGGCCTTCTCCGCGGGCACGCGCTGGGGGATGCAACACTCTCGAGCCCGCGGCTGCTTCCGCGGGCACGTTGGGCTGCAGTGGCGTGCGGGTTGTGCGACTTCGTTTAGCTTTAACTTTTCGCACACAACTCCGGTTCGCACAAAACTTAGACAAAAATTCTCCTCATTGAATTCTCTTCGTCCCGGTATGGCTTGGTCGGATTTTCCGGGTTGGAAGGCTCGGTCAGCGCGGACGGCTCATCTCCTCATTCTCAACTCGTTGGACCTATTCAACACCAAAACAAAAGAAAAAACGCACAAAAATACGAAAACACTATACAATAACAAAAATACACAAAACATGATAAAATGGACCGGTCGACACAAAAACGAGCCTAAAACTATAAAATAAAACACACAAAACATACGAAAATAACGACAAAAACACAATAAACAACTCCCCCACACTTAACTCTTTGCTTGTCCTCAAGCAAACAAAATAACAAGTAGTTCAAAAGGAGAAATCGAACGGTCCAAGATTAACAAACATGCATCTTGTAACTCTCATTATCATCCAGTTATTCACAAAACTCAACTCAAATTCGAGGGTACGGTTCTCACATATAAACTCAACAAAACAAAAACAAGCCTAAGTTATTCAATCATGATTCACTCAAGTCAAACTCCCTTTTTTCAAAAAAAACGTGCAAAAAACTAAAAATGGTCAACTCAATATATAAGATGATAAAAACGAGACCATGAGCCAATTCCCCATTTTCTTTTCTCTCTTTTTTTTTTATGAGTTACTTTTTTCCAAATGAGAGCCGTTAGGACAATTATTACCAAGGTTTATTCTCGGGGGTTATCCCCGAGTTTCCTAGGCCGGTTTCCCGTACTCCTTAACCCGGTTTATCTAGAAGACTAACCGAGCCAAGAGGAGCCTAATCCTTTCGACTCTCACGAACTCATTTTGTAAGCTTCTCTTTCCAAACAAGGTTTTCGGATGAGATTCCCTAGGTTTAACCTCGAGGGATTTCCTCGAGTTCCCTAGATCGGTTTTCCGGGCTCATTATCCCACTCCACTAAGTGGCTCGGAATAAGAGGAGCCTAATCCATACTTCCTCGCGAACTCACTTTTTTATTCTCTTTTTTTAGGGGGTGACACACAAAGTTACATCACGAATACAATCAAAATCATCACAACTCAATCACGACGTACACAAAGTGTATAGCATAACACGTTTAATCAACAATCGAACATAAGGCAAGCATGATCAAGATCCTCACTCAAGAACGAACAAAGGACAAGAAAGTCTCGTGAATTCACATGCGAGTTCCAATGCCAACAAATAATCATTTCATTTTGTAAAAACCGTCAAAATCATGGAGCACATAAAGCATGAGAGTTAATAATGAACACAAACGACAATCCAATCTAGCCACTTAGTCATTCCGAGCAATTGGACTCACATCAATTCTCATAGGGGGAAATCGACACAAAACACACAAAAACAAACAAAACCGGTCCACGACACAACTAAACGAAAAGAAAATACGCTTAAAGCATGCATAATCACGCAAACCCCTCTCCCACACTTAAAACAAAGCAATGCCCTCATTGCTTGACCAACAAAAGCATAGGAAAGAGCACGTAATCACATAAGCTCATGCGAGAAAATAAAAATAAAAACAAAACGAACAAGACAAACGAGAAAAAGAAAAGAAACACATAACACAAAGAAATTAAGAGAAAAAAGAAAATAACGAAGGGAAAAAAAGCGCGTACTCTACACGGTGGTGCACCACCGTGTGTTTAATGGTGTTCGTCCGATGGGAATAGAGCAAATCATCTGAATGTCCTCGAGTGCAAAATAACGCCATCCGAACGAGTGAACAATAAAAGCATATCGATCTATTAGCCAACCGGGCACTATTACATTTGAGAGCATAAGAGAATCCCGTCCGCCGGCTCCGTGTAAAGGCCACATGTATGTGTCTCGGAGGGATAATAACTGGAAATCCACAAACTCGACGAAGATACACATATGCGTGAAAGATCAAAATTTGGGCCATGAACCCTCGATAATACTCGCCAAGCACAACCTCAAGCACAACCGAACACCAATGATATAGTGAAATTCAAATCAAACGCTAACGTGCACCGCATGCCTGATAATAATCAACAATAACTCCGAACGAGCCTCGCACCGAAAGACAATAGCCAAAATCCTTCAAATTATCAATATAAGCTCTCGAAACCCCGATACACCTCCCCCACACTTAGCATAAATCACCCTCAACTCAATAAAATCACGCCCAATTCACATACAAATGAGTCGAGTTGGTCTAAGTGAAATACCTCGTAAAACGATGATCTCGGCACCAAGAGTAAGAAAAATCGGGCAATAATCCTAGACAAAGCTCCAAGAGAGTGAAAAATCTAAGAAAAACGGGTGAAAGAGGTAGAATCGCCGTAAAATAAGGTTTCCGACCGCTCCAACGGCTCGAAACGGTCCCGGGAGGTCGAAAATGTCGTTTCCGGCCGGAAAATGTCGACAGCGGCCGGAAAATGGGG